CGTGAGGCACAAACAGAAGCACAGGGGTATTTACAGCTGTAAAATTCTTCCATAGGTCACCATAACGTGGGTATAAATGACATTATGCCAAAACCCATGGAGTGAACCCTAATGTAAACTATGGACTTCAGTTAATAACAATGTATTAATATTGGCTCATGAAATGTAACAAAGGCACCATACTAAGGGAAGATATTAATAAAAAGGAAGACTAATATATGAAGGAGTGGTGGTAAGGGGGTGTCTGAGAATTCTCTGACTTTCTGTTCAATGTCTTTTTTTTTTTTTAGCAAAATTAAAATTGCTCAAAAATAATCTGTGGATTCAAAATAATTATATCCATTTCAATTTTCAGCATTCATCCATTTTTATTAGAACACAGCCATACCTATTCATTCACATGTTGTCTGTGGTTTTGTGCTATGATGGCCAAATTGAGGAGTTGCAACTGTGGCCAATGGCTTGCAAGCCTAATTTACTACTCAGCCCTTCATAAAAAAAAAAAAAAAAAAAAGTGCTGACTCTGGTCTAAGCCACTGCATACAGCAGGCCACTGTTTACTCTCCAGCAAGTACTTACTTCATCCTCCATCTTATCCGTAGGCCATTCTGAAAAACATTTTTCCAAAAATCCATGGTTTCTTTTGATGAGCAATTTCCCCTACCTAACAAACCAGGCAGGACAAACTGGGCACCATTATGTTCCAGGACCCTTTTTTTGGCAGCCTTTTCTCACCTCCTAAGACTGGGTTAGATGCCTCTTCAACATCCTGCCTAACTCCTGCCCTCATGGTTTGGCCTCGCTCTTGAAAGTACCTGTGCTCTTGCTGGTCTCTTCAGGCTGGGAGCTTTGAAGATGGAGGCCATGTCTTATTTATTTCTGCATCCCTGGCACCTGGGAGCTGTTGATGATCAGGATCCATTTTTAAGGGATTCTGAAGCTGGAGGCCACATATGAATGGGTTTCAGCATCTGTGATCCCCCTAAGGAGAATAAATGTTTGTATATGTCTATTTGGATCTATATTCTGTGGAGAAAGCCCACAATTTTCATGAACTTCTCAAAGGGGATCATGACTAACCCTCCCTCGAAGGAAAAAAAGATTAAGAATTCCTGAAAGAGTTATAGATACATGGGCAGTAAAGTGCAGACAGGGAGAAATCAACAAGATTTGTTGATTTTGTCGTTTTGACAGAAACAAAGAAAGTTCTTGATCCTATTCAACAGTTTACCAACCAAGACACTGCATGGGTGATCACTATTTTCTTTTCTTTTCGGGATTGATCTCAGGGCCACTTAATCACTTAGCAACATCCTCATCCTTTTTTATAAGCAGCACAGGCAGAGGAGGTTGATATTCAAAGGAAGAATGTTTTAGAAGAGATTCATACAAATAAATAACTCAACTGGATACTTGCTGGTGATGGCTAATTTTGTGTCAACTTGGCTGGGTCACGGTACCCAGTTTTTGGTCAAACACCAGTCTTTGCTGTGAAAGTATTTTTTAGATGTTATTAGCATTCAAATTATTAGACTTTGAGTCAAGCAATATGGAACTTCCCTATTGTAGGCATGCCTCATCACTCTGGTTGAAGATCTTTAAAGACTGAGGTTCCCTGTGGAGAAGGAGCTCCATCTTGGACTTGAGACTGCAACATCAGCTCTTTCTTGGGTCTATCCTGCTGGCCTGCCTTGCACCTGCCCTGCAGATTTTAGACTTGCCAGTTCCCACAGTTGTGTGAGCCAATTCCTTAAAATAAATATCTCTATATATACATTTCTTGCTGCTTCTATTTCTCTGAACCCTAACACAATTTGCTGGAATTGGGTTATGTTTGAAACTACGGCTTTGGGTCCCCTAGGAAGCATAAGTACTCAGATCAGTGCACACCACAATTAGGTGGTGATAGTCTAAAAAATTCCCCTTGGAAATTTGGAATACATGGATCTGCCTTTAGCCAGTGAAAACTTTAAGCATAAGAAACACTAAGAAACGGCATGGGTCTCCAAAGTATTCCTTTCTTTTATATTTTAGTGTTTATCTTCTTCTTCCTCCCTCTCTTCTTTTTCTAAAATGTATCACTGCTTTTAACTTTATTTTTTTATTTTTTTGCTGTTGTCTCACAAACATTGTAATGGCAATGACAGAATTTTGTTTTTTAAAAAATATATACTTACTATGCCACTACCCTAGACATTTATTTTACTGAGTTTCTCAAGGACACAGATCAAAGAAGAGGTCAATAGACCTTTGAGTCAGGGGCAGGAGGCCTCTGGAGAAGGGAGGCTGTTAGAAACTACAACTGTCATTTCTGAAATGTAATTTACAAGTCGGTATTCTCACAGCGGCGAGGTGGCACTGAAAGAACATTTGCACTATTTGGAAAGCACTGGGGCTGTTCAGTTTTTCAGAACAGCTGTCTCAGTGAACTCTCCCCAGGCTCAGCTATCCACGGCCCATTTCCCTTTCTGTCTTCTAAAGCCCCAGCATCTGAGGATTTGGCAGGTAGAACAAGGTTGAATGCGGCTGACACAGGAAACGGCTATGGCTGGACTGATGCCTGGGTGCAGCTGAATGGGGACACATAGCCAGGTCTTAGCAAGGAAGCAGCTGTCACTCCAAGCACTGGGCTCAATGTCACCATGTAGCTGGATTCCTTTTTCTAAGTGTCTTAGAAAGGTAATACTAATTGTGGGACACAGTATCATTCAGACTTAACCTTGTAGCTTGGGTAGCTCTTTAGGAAGGAGAAAAGTGAGAAGCAAAATAGCATTTATTAAATGTATCCCATATATGCTATAAAGGAGAGTGATTTAAGATCACTGCCTGGGTTTGAGCCACACTTGCTGTGGGCCTAAATCCCTCATGCCATAAGGGTCCTGCTTATTAGACTGTTTCTTTGATGTAGTTATGATTATTCCCTGCTTTCTGATAGTCACAGGAGGCATAGGCAATATCAGAAGGGCCTGGGAGGAGGGATTCGCTTCCTTCACTGACCCCCAACATGTTGACCGCTGGCCTTTCTCCAGGGATGAGTGGAATGGGGGATTAAAGACAGAGTTATGTTACTTAATTTTTTGCCTGATTTTTTTCCCTGTAGAAATAATAAAAACACCTCAATTGTAGAATTATTACAAGAATTAAATTAGTGTGTCTAAAGCACTAACAACCGTGCCTGAAACAGGGTAAGAGCTACCTGCCTATTTGCTGTTATTATCTTATTATTTAATTAACACAGCCTTATTTATCCTTTAACAACGGAGGAAACTGAGGCTCATGGAGATTAAGTCAATTACCGGAGATGGCAGAGCCTGAAACAAACTCAGATTTATCTGACTGCAATGTTTTCTTCCTAGAACATGACTGGGTCTGCTCAATGCTATCAAATTTCCCCTCTTGCTTGCCAGCTGAGGGTTCAGTTGATCAGTCCTTCTTTGTACTGACAAGGGTGAAATTCTATATGACTGAGGCTCTGTCTTTAATCCCCCATTCCACTCATCCCTGGAGAAAGGCCAGCGGTCAACATGCTGGGGGTCAGTGAAGGAAGAAAATCTCTCCTCTCAGGCCCTTCTGATATTGCCTATGCCTCCTGTGACTATCAGAAGGCAGGGAATAATCATAACTACATCAAAGAAACAGTCTAATAAGCAAAGACCCTTATAGCATGAGGGATTTAGGAAGAAGACGTCATGGAAGCCATCTATGTAATTTGAAATTTTCTAACAGCTATATTAAAAAACCTAGAATGGACATAAAATTGAGATATTCTACTTTTTGGGGGGGTTATTGTGGATATTGTGTAAAATCCATCAAATATTTTACACACATATCCCTAGACCTACATACCATGTGAATATAATAGCTCCCAAACACTTAAATATGTGTCCCCCAGGGGCTTCTTTATTCATTTAGTGACTTTACGTCTAAAGTGTTCCTGGCTTTCCTTTTCTTCATTAACCGGCAGATACTCTGATGGGGGAAAAAAAAATGGCTTAAGGAATAAAGAAGTCTCTGTTTCTCTTAATGTCCCCAATTAGTGCAGGTTTTGCCGGCAGCTGAGATTGCTTGCTGCGGCCACAGCGTTAGTGTCGCTGCACACACCCCGCACCTCTCACCCTGGAGGGCCAGGCACGCTGGCTGGCGGGGTGGGGGGCCTTTCAGGGTCTATAAGGACTCGGGCCCCCTCTTGGACCCGGACAAAGTCTTTTCCCGAGTCTCGGGCCCTGAGGGACTGTGTGGCCCCCACTGACCAGAGCCCAGCAGAGCCTTGGCAGGGCTCAGATTTCCTGGACCGGATGACAGACCCGAGCCCGAGCCCCGCGCAGCGCAGGCCCGACACAGGATGCGCGGCCCTCAGTGCGCATCCCGGGCATCCGCCCGCACGGGGCCAGCGGCGCAGCTGCTGCAAATCCGCCCGGGCCGCCGCCTCCTCCGGGGCCGGGAAACCGCAGGAACCTCCCCGGCCCGGCCCAGCGCCCTCCCCCTGCTGGGGCCCGGGGCGGAGTCGCCCACCTGTCATCCGAGACGCCCCACGTGGGCCGGCCGTGGGGAGGGGTTGTAGAGAGGGAGAAAAGGCAGAGGCGTCGAAGGAGGCGGGAGTGAGAGTGGGGAGGAGAGAGGACCGGAGGAGAGGAAAGCAGGAGAGGAAAGCGGAGCCCACGAAGGCGGTGTGGAAGAGCTAGGAGCAGAAGAAAGAATAAAGAGGACCCGAGACCTACGAGAGGGACAGGTAAGGAGGGGCAGGCGAAAGAAGGAAAGACGAACCAGTCCGGAGAGAGGGAGTAAAGAGTCGGGAGTGAAAAAGGTCTACGCACAGGGAGGAGATGAGGTGGAAGGAAGGGCAGGAGGAGAAGATTCTAGGGTGACGAAGGGCTAGGGCTCTTCGACGAGGAGTGGGGGAGGCACTGCGGCCCCTGCGCCTTTAAGGTTGCCAAGGCGACGGTTCTGGCCAAAGCGAGGCGCATTGACGTCAGCAGCCGAGTGCTGATTGGCTGCAGCCGGTCGTTTCCGGTGGAGCCGCAGCCGAGCCGCTATCGCAGAGTGGAGCTGGGCTACGAGCGCAGCGCTGAGGGAGCAGGGCACCGCCGTAGTCTAGCACCGACAGTTCCGCGTCCGCCGCCGCGCGTCCCAGGTGAGTGGCGTCTGCCCGGGGCCCCGCCGCGGCGAGCTTCGTCGCCCCGCCGCGCGTTTGGGGGCGCTGGACCGATCCAAGATGGCGTCACGGGGAGCGACCTGCAGGGGGACGGCCGCACCCCCTGCCCCTCCCCGGCCCCGGCGCCTCCCGGCCGGCCTCAGGCCGCGCCCCCGGCCCCTGTTCTGCACCCGGGAGGCCCCAGGCGGCCCTTTGTCCGCTTAGTGTGGGGCGTCCAGCCGCTGCCCTCCCGCCGCGGCCGTCCGCGGATCAGGTCCTCGGCGGCCCTGCCGTCCCCGCCCCCGCGCGCCGCGGCCTTCTCGCACGCCCTCCCCCATTTCCTGAAGGACAACAGCTCGGTTTTACCGGAATCCGCCGTCGTTTTCCCCGCCGGTTTCGGCCGATCTCGAGCCCCGGCAGGAATTCTCGTGTCCACCCTTCCCTTGTAGCCGTTTCCAGCGATCCGTTTCCCTCTCTTCGGCGGGGCTGTCGTCCCCCCGCCCCCGCGCGGCGATCTGGGTCTGGCTCCTCAGCTTCCCTTTGTCCCTGTCACTGCCTCTCCTTCCCCGATCCTCCCACCCCAGGCCTCCTTGCCATCGCGGAGGCCTTCCCACTAGCCCAGGATGGGGGTCGACTCCCTTCGTTGTGTGGTCATGACCGTGGCCTGAGGGATTGAAGGGCACTTTGCTGTCCTCTCGAAAATGCGCGGTGCCTGTTAACCCCTGCAGCCAGGGCCTGTGTCCCGCAGGGGTTCCCGAGCCAGCAGGGAAAAGCCAGCCCACGGTTCCAGCCAGCAGGGAAAAGCCAGACCCCAAGGAGGTATTTCCTGGCAGCCCCCGGGCAGCGCCCGGAGTGGGGAACAGCCTCTGCTTACATGTGATCCTTCTGAAACAGAATCTTAACACAGTCCACTTTCCTAAAGAAAGAATCTGAGTATTTTCTTGTGAACAGCTGTAAGGTTCTTGACAGTTTTAAATGGTTAAATAATTTTTGGGGACGGGAAGAAACTAAGTTCCTGGACTCTTGGATAAATAAGTACAAAGACAGAATTAATCCAGGTAGAGTTGATGAAATATGTTAAAAGGCCTTGGAATTTGGGTATTCGGAGGTCACAGGGCGACCGTATTAGTGTTGGGTCAGTTTTGTTCACGTACTATCCGTCACCAGATTCTTCCTTTTGGTCTTTGTGATAAACATTAGTTTGTTTCAAACAAAGACACTTTCACTCTCTAGGCACAATTCTGTCGTTTTTACCAGATCTTAGAAGGATTTCTCTGTTGACTTGAATGTGTGTATTAATATGACTGAAGACTACTTTGAAATGTAAAAGATCTGATTTATTATTGTTCTTGGTGGCCTTCAGTACCATTTGAAAAGCAGAGAATTCTACTGAAGTGGATTTTCCACTCTTATGATTACTTGATCTGGAAAAGTAGCCAGTATAAATATATTCTATAGTAAGTAAACATTTTTTTTTTGTGTGTTTATTTCTGAAGTAGCAGCATGATTCTTTCCCCGTGGCTTCTAAGCTGTATGCTTGTCATGGAGCCACAAACTTTCTCATGGTCTGTTAATTAGTCTACTTGTAATGACTTATCACATAAGTTGTCAAAACAAAATGAGTAACACTGGCACTTTAGAATAGCTCTTCCTCTGGTATTTCTTTTAAACTTATAGTTTTATCTTGGTTGTTTTGTGTGCATTATAATTTGAAAAGTTTGATTAGTATTGTATTTAGTTACAGAGTAGAGGGGAACAGTCTTAATTGCTTCAAGATTAGTAGTTGGAGGGAAAACTGTGTGAATGACACTGTTAAATTACTGTTTTTAATTCTAGGGTAAGGTTACCTAGTCATTATTACATTTCTATTTTCTTCACATCAAGGCAGATTGAGTCCTCTGAAATCCATTAAATGCAGTTTTATATATTGAATCATCATGTAAGCTTGAAAATCTTAACTGTTTTTATATTTTTTATTCAGATAAAGAAAACGTTTTGACAATTTTCTGTCCAAACTTTTTATAGTATACTTGGTAAGAATTTTCCACCCCCCAACTAAGGATTTTCCCCTTTTTACCACTGCCAAATATATTATATAGGACTGGAATCTGGTAAAATATTCTATAATGAAAGACTGCTTTTAAAACCTAACTGAGGTTTCTTCTGTGTTTTAAAAAATTTTGATTACACTAATAGTTAATCAGATCCTTCCCTCTAGTGGTTTGCTGTGTGACATCAGGACATATTTCTCCATGGGATAGGAACTAGATGGGAGCTACCATAAAGACATTATCAGATGTTCTTTATTGTGCTTCCTTGTTTTCACTTACAGCTAACTCTTGTCAGCTTGTAATGTCAGCAATGCCCTTGTAATTCTCTGTCCTGTTTACCATTTACACATTTCCCACGTCATCATGATTTCTTTGCAGGGAGAGAACTGAATGAAATTCCCTGAAGGGACTGGCTTCTCAGCAGCCTGCCTCTGCAGGGGATAGTGGCTCATACCCCCTCCGGGGAGCTTGAGAATATTGCCTTTCATTGTGGCCTATAGAGCCCAGATACTACAGCAGCAACTAAATGAAATACTTATTTGGAAGAATACAGATTCTGTACATATTTTGTACCCTAGTCCCTGTTTAAAAACAATCTAGTGAGGAGAAAAAGTTTCCATGAATCAATCAGTTGCCTAATGGATTTAAGAAATCAAAGGCCAAACTGGTGTTTGTGCTTCATAGTTTACCCAAGCATGTGTGTGCTTTTTGTTGCAGAAAATCATGGCGTCTGGTAGTACTACTGCCAGTGAGGAGGAGCGTAGTCTCCGGGAATGTGAACTCTACGTGCAGAAGCACAACATTCAGGCGCTGCTCAAGGATTCTATTGTGCAGTTGTGTACTGCTCGACCTGAGAGACCCATGGCATTCCTTAGGGAATACTTTGAGAAATTGGAGAAGGTAAAAATATGGGAGTTGCTATGATGAGTCTAATAAATGTTAAATGTTATAATGCTTAAGAATGTTGCTCATTTGTACCTTTTGGAAGAAAAGGAAGTTTGACCGAATAAGTCTAAAATTAAGAAATGCAGTGAAGACATTTGTAGTAAGTTTTAAATTCGTAACTGGTAGAGTTTAATCAGAAAATGAATCTTTTGCTGTTTATTTGAATGGTAAAGGATTTCCAAACTTCGTTCCTTGTAACCTGGTTTAATTAGTAGTTCTGACTGTAACAGAACCAATCTTTAGTACAGCAATTATTATGACTTGAGAAATTCTGAAGTACTCGAAGGCAGTCAATATTTTTCTTCAGCAAAGCAGGTAACCTTAATAAACCTTACCCCACATTTTAGAACTCAGGTAATAAATTGATTGAGTCTAGTTTGTGATAGATTTATCAGAAATTCTAAATTAATGGTTTGGTTTACTATAGAGTATATGTTGGATGAATTAACTAGAATGCAGATACAAGATGGAAGGTTGTCAAAAGTTTATTCCTTTATAGTTTTGATTAGGACTTTTTCTGGAAAAAATATTCTAGTTATTTCTTGGTTGTTTACTCTTGTGTGTATGTTATTGTGACCTATGTATATGATAGATGCTTTTCTTATCAAAATAATTTTGCATCAAGGACAGTGCTTCAGTTCACTTTCTTCAAGATGATGAATGAAAAAAAGTCTGTATTACCAAATGTTTTGAGTATTTTATTTGATTTGCATTTTTAACTCTGGGATAAATTTACAGGTTTTCTTATGCATATTGAAGTTTTGAAGTGGTTCATAATGGTCATGAATCAATTGTGATTTTTTAAATATGTATAATTACTTAACTGTATAATAGAAATATCTGCCTTATTTGTTTGGGCCATTTTTTACCAGTGTAATTCATGTTTTAAGATTTAAAACATGTTTGGGTAGTTCAGTGAACAAGTATTTTCTACACTCCTTAAAAACTAACAGGTTGATGTTTAATACCATGATTAGACTTTAATTATTCTAATCATTTTTAATTAAACAGAACACAACTATTAACCAGTCACTATGAATGTAGCCCTGCTAACTTGAAATTGTAATAGAAATTCTGGTTTGCTCTTATTAAATAAGAGAAATTTCCAAATAATGAAACTACTGTGGAGCCAGGTCACAAATGTTCCCTGTTTTGAAATCAAGTGCGTTCCTGGAGATCTGGTTCTGAAATGGGTCACTGTAAGGCGATCCCCTCTTCTTTGGACATCAATAGAAATCATGAAATGAGGGGATTAAGTTAGTGAGACATTAAGTGTGTATCTTTTTTTAGGGAGTGTTGAATGTGTGGTGCTAGGTACAAAGCCTGTATTTACCACAGGACTCTTTAAGGACTAATCAAGGTGGAAGGAAGAAACAAGTAATTATTAGGGTACTTTCTTTGGGATTTTTAGCTTTGCTATGTATTGGTCTTTAAAAAAAATCTAATAAAAGTTACATTTTAACACTTTTCTTCCTGTAACTCAAGGGTCTTTGACTAACATGCATTCTTTTACCCAGGGTTAAATATATTTTCCTAGACTTTCAAGTACCTAGATTATCCACTTTTTAATAGTCCATTGTTCCATATATCATGTTAATTTTTATGTCTTAAAATACTAGTCACATTCTCTTCACCTCCTTCCCAGTTACCCAGGAGTTATGTTTCTGGAATCTTCCAGCTCTTCCATAAGAAATGTACCAAAAAACTCCCACAGTTTGGGCCTATTGAAAGCTTCTGCGTTTTAATTCAGACTATTGTCTGGAATTTGAGTTCTCTTTCATGTTTGTATTTATTATAGAACTTCCCTGTCTTGTTGATAAGAGGAATTAAACTATTGCCTTTTGAGGGCCTCCTGTGTGCCAGATACTGTGTGAAACATTTTATATACATAAATATTCATTATCGCAAATGTGTGATATATATGAGCATTACCATTTTATAGAGACAGCTGGTAAAACTTGGTTGTGATCATACAGTGTAGTGGTCAGCTTTTGCTGCAGCAACATAAAATCCCCAAATTTCAGTGGCTTACTACAACAGACTGTATATATCGGTCATGTGTAGCTCTTTTGGGCTCAGCCTGTCTTGTCTTCTCTACTTCGTGTATTTTGTTCTGGGGCTGAGTGGAAGAAACAGTCACTATATAGGGCATTCCGTTCTCAAGGCAGAGAAGGGACAGAAGCTCAAGGTGGGCTGAGCCAAACCACATTAGCGTGCATGCTATGGCATGTCCACTTACATTCCATGACTAAAGCAAGTCATATGGCCTAGCCTCAAGTGTGTGGGGTGGCAAGTTTACTTAATCTACAGAGAAGAATGGCAAGGGCAGGGAGAAGACAAACAGTTGTGAAAACATTAAGTGGTTGGAGTTAAAAACATAATGCAGAATATAATGCAGAAGAGTCAACAAGATTAACCAGAAAGTAGGCTGGGAGTTTTTTATTTTTTGTTTTAATAAGCTAAAGAGCTAACAAGCTGTGAATAACAGCAAGGGTAAGGATATAAAATTGTATCACAGTACATGCTAGAAATTGATGATTCCAGTAACGGCTCTGACTTGTCAAACAAAATAGGTTATATTCAGATTGCTGTTTTATAGTTCACTAGAATCCAAGGCAGTATTAAAATCAAATTGTTTTTGGTTACTTCAGAATTATCTTAAAAATTTATTTAAGTAGGATACATCCTAATAAGATGTCCTTTGTGAATTTTTTCATTAAACTTTTGTGTAATGTCAATGACAGATTTGGGGAAGTTGAATTTATGTTTTCGTTTATACTCTTTACACTTGGGACCTGAGTTTCATAGTTCTATGTTGATATGGAATAGGAAAGCCTTATTAGTCACTGGAAGTTCCAGAATGAAAATGAAGTGAGTTTTCTAAAAAATACATAAATAGGTCACATGTTCACATGCAGTTCACAATAAAAAGGCACAGCAATAAGAGGTCTGCTTCCCACACCATTGCCTTTCTTGGGTGTGGCCAGTGTTCTGGAGGTAATATATGGCATTTATAGACAAATTTATACATGAAAGGAACATCTTTTCCAACACATGTGGAATGAGCCACTGTCTGGCTATTATGTTTACTCATCCCTGGTTATAACTATTTTGGTTGTTTCCAGTGTTTCACTCTTAAAAAAACTAATTAAATAATGTATGTATCATTTTTTCACATGTGTATATCTTAGAATAAATTTCTGGAAGCAGAATTACTAGATTGCTGAGTCAAAAGGTAAATATATTTATAATTATGAACAAAAATATTGTTTTTTTCTCTCTCGGAAAATTAGAAAATCCAAGAAGTGAGAAGATAAGGATAAAATTTTGCTATAAAAAACAGACATGGCTCTACTAATAGAAATGAACACTACTAACCCCTTCATGGATATGGTTCTAGATTTGCTTGCTGCACATTTAGGATTCTTGTATTTATCTCGATGCGAACATTTGGGTGAGGACTGTGCACAAAAACAACAAAAAACAATAGCAACAACAACAAAAATGGATTTTTTTAATCAAATTTTTTTCCTACAGTAATCATTAAATGCAAAGTTCTCTTAGAATTTTTAAGATGGTTTAGAAAAACAATGTAGAATGGGTCAAATGAATGAGAAAGTATAAGATAACACATTCTTTTACTCTTATTTCAGGCATAATAATTCTCTACTGAGGAATTTCTTATTAAGGTTCTAGATTTGAAAAAAACGTTTAATTGTTGATTTCAGTTTTACATGAATTGGTTCAATAAGTAGTTTTTACAAGCAGATAATCAAATATAAACTCTGCTAATAAAGAGTGCTTCTAGCTCTGCTGGAGAAGTATCGCTGGGCTGGTTCTTATTTAAATTCTTGTTACCATCACAACCCTCTCATTATTTGTTTATATTTGGGACCCAGGCTAGATGTGAATTCTGCAGGCTCAGGACCCTCTCCAGTTGGTTTGTGTATCCCATTGCTTTGTATAGGGTGTGGTATGGCAGATCCAGAAAATGCAGAATTAATGAAATAGTAGTCTAGACATTCTTGGGTTACTTTGGTGAGCCAGAATTATTGTTACTGGATAACATGCTTGGAAAGGGGAAGTTATTTCTTACTGTTTGCAGTAGAAAACAAAAAGCCTAATTCCCAGGATTTTGTTTTCTGATACATTGCTTTTATGTTCATCATGAATCAGTAATCTTGGAGATCTAATTTTTTACTTCTATATGTCCTTGAACATATGGCTTTTGTCCATTAATAAAGCATGCCATCTATTATCATCTGAGAAACAGTCTGTGGAAAGTTTTTCTTTTTAAACTTTGTTTTTTTCCTATTTGGAATTGACCATTTCCTCTTAATTTACATTGGTACAAGAAGAGACTTGATGTCCCTGAGATGGACTGACACTGGATTATAAGAATACCAACTTTATATGCTGAAGTGTCTCATTTTATAAACCCTCATTTCTTTCAGGAGGAGGCAAAACAGATTCAGAATCTGCAGAAAGCAGGCACCCGCACAGACTCAAGGGAGGAAGAAATCTCTCCTCCTCCCCCCAATCCAGTGGTTAAAGGTCGGCGGCGACGTGGGGCTATCAGTGCTGAAGTCTACACAGAGGAAGATGCTGCGTCTTATGTTAGAAAGGTAGTTTTTGATATCTAAACATTAGGGAAATGTTTTGGGGGTCCACTTGGTGGTCATCTAGTTTCCTTTGATGCGTGAATGTACATTTTCAAATAGTTAATTACAAAAATACAGTTACTTGGTACCAGAGAACAGGTTTCTATAATAGTCTGCTGTCAAAGGAAATAACCAGTGATTATAACCCAAGGAATAATTACATTTGGGGGTTAGTCATTTCCATGCAGTTGTTTTGCAGTCGAATCAAGAGGTATTCCTTTTTCTCTTGAATCATGTTCTCAGTTTTCTGATACTCCATAATTCATATTGTAGCTTTTAACCTTGTATCCAACAAGCTTCATTTGTCCTAATCTTTTCGTTCTCACAGCCAGCCAGCCATTTTGTATTATGCTATTAGTCTCCAGTGGGAACAATTGCATGTGCTTGGGCCTTGTGAAACACAATGATTGTTATAGGATACTTAGTTTTGTCTTAGAATAATGACCTCGGTCAAGGTAATTTTGGTTTGTTTAGTTTTTAACTAGGAACCAAGTACTGGCTTTTAAATCCAAGCCTGGCTGTAGGCAAGGGGATTAAGTAGTCAATATTTGTTGAGTACTTCCTGAATCAAAGATAGTAAGAATGTGCCCACAGTGAAAATATTTAACTCAAAACTGTCTTGTTTAAATACTCTAATGTGGCTTGACATTTAATTGAAATGTAAGTTGCAAACATTAAGTGTTTTTTTGTTTATGAAATTGTTATTTGTCCTTTGACTCTTTTCTAGGTTATACCAAAAGATTATAAGACAATGGCTGCTTTAGCTAAAGCCATTGAAAAGAATGTGCTGTTTTCACATCTTGATGATAATGAGAGAAGGTAGGTATATCTTCTTTGTTAAGAATATTTTTTCAGTATGTCATTTATCTCATATGTCCCAAACTCTTATCATTGTAAGTTTTAAGGCCAAATGACAATCAGGGCTGAAAATCTGGAAGCTTTAATTCTAAGGTTAACATTGGAAATCATGGAAGAGACCTGTGAAATCTTACACTAGGACTTCTCTCTCTTGCAGTGATATTTTTGATGCCATGTTTCCAGTCTCCTTTATTGCTGGAGAGACTGTTATTCAGCAAGGTAAGGACTGCTGTTTTTGTGACATGCAGTATGGTTATGGGAGGATAGGAGAGACTGGAGAATTGGTTTTGTTTATTTTGAGTTTGTTTCCCTCTTTGTGCCTACCATTTCCCCCCGTTATGTTGTTAGATTATTCTTTACCCTTTTTCTTCTCTTTTTTTTGATAAAAATTTAAGCTAAACAGAAAGCTTTCTCTAAGGCATTAATATTTCAGGTATAATTTTATTTATAATAATTGTTAAAGGAAATGCTGTTTTATTTTGAATGTCATGGAACTTTAGAACAATATATATATCTCCTATGTCCTTTATGCTGATTATTAGGCACTTTTATAGTAAAAAATGGAACAAAACCACTTATATTTTTATTTATTCTTGATAGTTTCATGGGTCTTCATAAACCATATATTTTCCCGTTTCATGACAGTCTTGATATGTTCTGTTAACTATTTGTGTTGTTTCTTGTGATATAGATAACATAAAAGTTAATAACTTTGTACACATATGTGGCTTTCTCTAGTTACCTTTTTAGAAGGTATTCTTCACCATAAAATTAGACTAAACAAAATTGATCAGTTCTATGATTTTTAATTTTATGGCTTCTGTTGCTGAATTTTTTTCCTAAAAGATCGTGTTAAATTTAACATACTGTTTTTATAGCCTCATTTATAAAATGAGTTTATTTTATATTAATTTGATCGTTTCAATTTGTTTTTTTAATTTGGGATATGATTCTGAATCTTTTACTCTCTTTTAGGCGATGAAGGGGATAATTTCTATGTGATTGATCAAGGAGAGATGGATGTAAGATTTAATAATGGCAAAACTATGTTGATAATCTTACCTTAATAATCTTGTATTATTACTTCTAAGCACTAAGCATAGTGTTTCTCAAGGGCTTGTATTGTGTATTAAATTCCATTACCTTTTACCAAGTATTTTTTGACACAGTAACTTTTTTTTTTTAATATGCTCTTATTTTATTTACTTATTTTTGTATGCCATTCTAAGGATACAACCCAGTGCCTCATGTGCTAGGCAAGTGCTCTGTCACTGAGCTCTATCCCTGATACAGTATCTTTAAGGGTAATTTTTCTGACTAGATATGCAGTTCCTGACTTCTGGGTTAGTGATTAATAAGTCTGTGCATGCTGTGGAAGGGTAGATGGATGTAAAGGAGTCTAAACCTAGCCATTAGCTATAAAACTTAACACAGCTTTCTTAATTCTGTAAGTTTTCTTTATAAATGAAATAGCAATAAAAAAAGCATCGAACCTTGTAGTTTTATTAGAAAATTCAGTGACTTAATAGAAGTAAAATGCTTAATGCAGTGCTCAGCCTAGTACTTAGTAAACGTGTGTCATTGGTATTAATGCTTGACTGACCTTATTTCATCATCATCTCTATGGAATATCTTTTTCATACCACATAGTAGCTCATTTAACTCGTTGTCAGAGGTCATCTATTTTGCTGTGCTGTGTTCTGAGAAATAAAATATTCTGTTTTAAAAATAAATTTGGGATTCTGACCTTTTAAAAAGGTCTAAAAGTTTTAACATGTTTGTATCTATACAAAGAGAAAACTTAATAGTCATTTGCATTTTAGGTCTATGTCAACAATGAATGGGCAACCAGTGTTGGTGAAGGAGGGAGCTTTGGAGAACTTGCTTTGATTTATGGAACACCTAGAGCAGCCACTGTCAAAGCAAAGACAAATGTGAAACTCTGGGGTATTGACCGAGACAGCTATAGAAGAATCCTTATGGTAAGAAATGATGGTTTTTGGAGTGTGATTTAGAATTCTGATCTATGTAACTAATGTTTGCATAATGTCACAAAGTTAAAAATGAGATGTTCTTTTCTTTTAATGATTGAATGTTTTGTATTAATCCCAGTTTAGCATCACTCATTATGCCTTTTGAGGCAGTCATTTTTTAGAACAAAAATAAATTAAGGCCAGAAATCACACGGGAATCAGAATGTGATGTATATGTAATGGTCTTCTCATATTTAGAAATCTGCCCATTTGCCAACAGATGCTTCTTGATTTACCTGATCTTGCCCACCATAGATTGGCTGCTTTGAAATGCATAAAATTAGGCCATTCAGAAATAAGTAGCTTCTCTAAACTGAAAGTTGGTTATCAGAAATGCATGTGACATGTCTCCTCTTGGAGAGAACAAAGTAATAAAACCATTGGGACAGTCTGCTGATACAGTTAATGAGTTTTTGAGAACTTTGTGATAAGTTTGTAGAGTAGTTTTGGTGGTTAAGTCTCAGCTAATAGCATTGGCTGTTCTAAATAGTTTTCTTAAATTTCTGTAGTGTTCATCTGGCTATTTGAAAGTTTGCAGTCTTGTGTACTTTGAAGTTTTTTTGTATGTTTGGGATATGTTCATGTACTTTGAAATATACTTTGTGTTTCTATTTTCCCGCTGTGGATACCAGAATTGACGAATACTCAAGTACCTTTTTATAAAATGGCATAGTGTTTGCATAAAACATGCACACCCTAACACTCTAAGTCATCTCTTGATTAGATAATACCTAATGCAAAATAAAAGCTGTGTGAGTAGTTGTTATACTGTATTGTTAAGGGAATATTGACAAGAAATAATTCTGGTTTTTGTTGGATCTGTAGTTTGTTGGATTTCTGGGTTTAGTACCTGTGGATAACATGGAGGGACAGACTGTGTGTATATGTATATGTGTGTGTGTGTGTGTGTGTGTGCAAGATGTATGTTTTCTGATAGGTGGAGGTTGTAGGGCTGAGGCAATTGGCCTCGTTAGGAAAATTTGTTATAAAGGACAGTGTGTTTCCTTTTCTCTTTCCTCCAGATATATTTAACAAATTTTAAGATAAGACAACTTGATTTGGGGCTATTTTGCTCTATAAATAACACAGTTTACAAGATTGGAGCTGTGGGGAAGGATTCTGGGCTGGGAGTGTAGTCAGATATAGTTTTTCATATCACTTGGTTGTTTTTTGGAGAGCTGAGCTTTTGCTTACTTGACATTTCATTACTTAGTGGTGCTGTGTACCTCCTGTGGCTTTTAGGAGCAAGCTATGAAGAGCTTTTTGAGCTTTTTAATGTAACTGAACACTTACTGTTTTCAGCATGCAGAGAAGTGATCATAAATCAAGAGGCAACTGCTGCAAGCTTTTTTTTTTCTTTTTAGTATATTTTAAACAATATTATTCCACAACATTGTGTGATGACTTCATGTTTTGGGGATATGACTCCTTTTTCTTTTTTTTTTTTTTTAGGGAAGCACACTGAGAAAGCGAAAGATGTATGAGGAGTTCCTTAGTAAAGTGTCTATTTTAGGTGAGTTTTTAAAATTGCATGGAGTACTGTCAGATATTTAGCAGAACCTATTACATTTCAGAAAAAGTAATCTAGTTAACTCATGTTTTTTTTACTAGCAGAAAGGGAAAGCACGTGAGATTTTTATTTGTGTCAAAGATTTGACTAAATTAAAGTCTAATGTGTGTTGAATTTGCTAATGTATGACAAACTCCTTTATTGGAAATGATCAGACGTGGGAAAAGCTTTCTGAAAATAAGGATGTGGCTCTTTCCTCCTAACTGAAAAAGCTGAAGGTGTCCTCCTTCTGAATGTGAACATTTAGTTATTCCCACTCTGACTTCCTTCTTATTTTGTTATTGAGCTTATTGGTTCTGGAATGTACTTCCAAGAAGGCATTTGCTTTGTGGAAATATGAGGTATCATTTGTTGGTATCCTCTGAAAACATGACAGATTTGAAATTTAGAGTAAAGCAAATTAACTGGAGATATTACCTGAGTTTTGTTATGTGGACTGGGAGATGTTAGACCCTAGTCTTTAGGAAAGGCAATGGTGACTTTGCCATTGTTTTGTTATAGGGATTTGACTTTTTTTCCCTCCTTATTTGACCTCTAAAATAATTATATTACTTCTTATCTTGGATATTGGTTTGACCTTTGGGAGCAAAAGTTATTTTCTGGCTCCCTTTGTTGGTTTCATAAACAAATTCAACTGTTAAGTTGTTTGAACTTTGGAAAATTAATGGATAAGTTATTTGAATTTGGAAAATTATGCATAGTGAAACATTTGGGTACTGCTATTGAAAGTTTGATTTGCATTGATGGCAGTATGAAGGACTGCTTTCTGATCACATTTTTCTTATTCCTTTGCCATTTGATATAGTGTTGATATAAATTAATATGATTACAAAAGTAAGAATCTAAGAGTCATATGCAGGTATATGAGAATCCTGCTGAGACTAGAGGCAATTGAAGATATGTGCCATTGTCATGTTTAATCTGAAACACTGCTGGGGTGTTGAATGGGCATGGATATTTGCTTGAATATCTGTACACTTGGTTTTTGTTTCAAAAAATTTAGCAATACCAAATAATGTAGAATTTTTTTGATTCTTGTCTTTCAGAGTCTTTGGACAAATGGGAACGTCTCACTGTAGCTGATGCACTGGAACCAGTCCAGTTTGAAGATGGACAGAAGATTGTGGTGCAGGGAGAACCAGGAGATGAGTTCTTCATTATTTTAGAGGTAAAGAACTCTGCATTTGATTCCTTACCAAGTTGTATGCCATAAAGGGGAAACTGGGGATTAATTCTTGTTTATCCTTTGGATTTTAAGAATACCAGATAGTTTTATTTAAAAATTATCTTTTGGGGCTTGAGATATAGCTCAGTGGTAGAGTGTTTGCCTAGTATCTATGAGACTGAGACCCTGGGTTCCATCCCCAGCACTGCAAAAAATAAAGTAGTATATGGTTTCATTGTGGTTTGTGAGGCCTAACTAGCCCAGGTGTGAAGATCATTTTTTAAAAATTATTTTTAAATTTTTATTTGGAATGCAGTTGTTTGATTTCTGTTTAAGGCCACTACATTTTAAGAGTTTGAGTCGGAAAATTCTAGAAAGGCCCAAGACTCGAGTGGCCAAATCCAGGGTTACTCAAATTGTTCTTTACCATGCAAGCCAAGAAAACCCTAAAAAATAAAAAACTGAAAACTTACAACAGTTAGCAAAACAAATTGAAAACTCTGGGTGGCTCTTGTTAAAATGCAAGTGTTTGGGCTATTTGACAAAGAAGGATCAAAGGTAATTATTTAAATTCCTAAAGTTTATATGTTTTATATCTTTACAATCTGGGAAATATATAGCAGTTAATCTTGCCTGCTAGACAGATCCAAATAGCAGATTCAAAGGCTCAACTCTGTAGTCATGGTGCAAAAGCAGCCTTAGAAATGTGAATGAGTGGATGTGGCATTCCAAAAAATCTTATTTACAAAATAGTGAGTTTGTCTACAGTTTGTGAAACTACAGTTTGCCAGAGTCTGAATTCCTAAGTATTTTAGTTTGATCAGTACCTTGCTCTGAGCAGGGGATAATGGTTAAATAGAAATCAAAGTTCATATGGTGACTGACTTTTCTGTCATCTTTTACCTTATGAACACAGATGAGTTGGATTATCTCTAAATCCTTTTCTCCCCTCTGTTTTGCAAAATAGCTAAAGTTGCACAGGGTGTTTAAGATCCCACTCTGGGTTAGAAAGTATTTGCTTAGCTTTTTGGTGATTGTATTATAGGGGTCGGCTGCTGTGCTGCAACGTCGGTCAGAAAATGAAGAGTTTGTTGAAGTGGGAAGATTGGGGCCTTCTGATTATTTTGGTATGTTGGATTCCTTCACAATTAGAGTTACCTTTCAGTGAGACGTGTAGTATTTCATAATTTTGTCTTCTCCTGAACTTTTAAAATTGCAGTCTTTTGCCTGTCGGAGAAATAGTGTGAGATTTTGCTCTTTACTCAGTTAATAATTGAGTAATTATTGTCCCATACCTATTATTGGTGTGTGTGTATGTATATGTATATGTGTGTGTGTGTATCTATATAATGTGCAGATGTGTGTCTGCTTTTAATTGAATGGAAAACAAAATCTTTGTTTTCTTTCTCAGAAGTGCACTTTAAACATTTTTTAAAAATTTGTTTTAATTAATGTACTTTTTAAAGGATTTTTTTGTTTTGTTTTTCTGTAGAAGTTAACCTGCTTTTATCCTTCTCTTTTCTGTCTTCCAGGTGAAATTGCACTACTGATGAATCGTCCTCGTGCTGCTACAGTGGTTGCACGTGGCCCCTTGAAGTGTGTGAAGCTGGATCGACCTCGATTTGAACGTGTCCTTGGCCCATGCTCAGATATTCTCAAACGAAACATCCAGCAGTACAACAGTTTCGTGTCACTGTCTGTCTGAAACCTGCCTCCTGTGCCTCCCTTTCTCCTTTCCCCAGTTCATGCTTCACTCACGCAGACTGCTTAATTTTCCCTATTTGCAGCGCCAAGTGGCCACTGGCATTGCAGCTTCTTGTCTCTTTATATTAAAAATTGCTTTTATTGCACCGTTCTCAATTTGGAGCATTAAGTGAATGCTCGAACACAAATAAATAGAAAGAGTTCTGTGGACTTTGCTGTTACTGCTTCTCTCTGTGCAGTGTTAGTGTTCAAACTGGGCAGTGAGTGCCATGCTTTTTGGTGAGGGCAGATCCCAGCACCAATGAATTACCATAGAGTAATGATGTAACAGTGCAAGATTTTTTTGTGACATAATTTTCCAGTCAAGCATATTTAGACTGTGGCCATATATGCTATATTTCTTTATAGAATAAATGGTTTCTCATTAAGCTGTAAGGATTAGGAACAATGGATATAGAAAAATCTTAGTAGCGTAGAAAGACATCTGCCTGTAATTAAAACTAGTTTAAGGTGAAAAAATGCCCATTTTTGCTAATTATCAGATGGATACAGTTGGTTCAGACCCCCACCCTTAACCTGAATTTTTGTTTGCCAAGCTAATTTGCCTGGTTTTGTTTGTGTCCTGTTACTGTTTCTTTTCCAACTCTGAAATACTTTTAGGTGTGGCTGTCTATACCAGCCTTTTAAGTTTGAAACCAAACCATAGACTACAAATATTGGGTTATGATTTAACTACATCTGCCTCAGCTCACAGATTTTATTTATCCAGCTAGTGCCAAATACTGACATCAGATGCTGAATTGAAAATAAGAATTTGAGGTCTACACTTTCAGTTGTTAACTTAAGAGTTTTTGGTTAATACATGTTCTTCATTTGACTCCAGTATGATATCCTATGTTCAGTAGACTCTTGATTCTAGGAGATTGGATTTGCTGAGAGTAGATACAGGTGGAAATAATGTCACACAGAAATATGAAGTGACGTTGCTAAAGAGAAGAACCAGGTGGACAGATTTCAGTGTCGAGAATTTTCCCCCACTAAATTCATTGGGGCGTGAGGTTTAGGAATAAGTTTTGTACTTCGGTTTCACATTTACCCCCTCCTTTTTATGTTGGCTAGAACTTTGGGTGGGGTGGGATGGGGTGGGATATGTCTGTGTGTCTAAAAGGCCATTCTGCTGGAAGACCTGCTTTCCTGTCCTGTATTTCTCTGGCAGCCTTTTATTTTTACTTTAAGTCAACTTGTGTTTTGAGTCTTACCTGTAACTCAGTATTTTCCTGCCTTATGTGTTATAATATTCCAATGATACCCAACAGTTTATTTTTATTATGATTTTTTTAAACAAAATTTCACAGTTCTGTAATGTAGGCACTTTTATTTTCATTGTGATTTATGTATATTGTAGGGTAATATTTGGGAGTGACTGCAAGCAGTTTTCCATCTGTGTGCAACTGGTTTTGATTAATAATCCTTTCACCTACCTTTTCCCAGGTAATTTAAATTGGACATGATCGATTTTTTTTGGTTTTTTTGCAGATTTTAGGTTGTTACTAACTTTGGAATATAAATCTGGGAAAGAAATTTTATTTACTTGTTAGTGTGGGATAGAAAGCCACCTTGTTACAAATTTTTTAATTTCCAAAATCTGTATTAAATGAAGGTTTTCTGCTCTGTACTTTATGTTTAGCTATCTTTTTTATACTTAAAAAAACTAAAAATAAAAATTATGTTCTTATTAGCTTTAAGCTTGATTTTGATCTTTGTTTAAAAGCCCAAAATGTACTTAAATGAATTATGTAGAATGCCATAAAATCAGTTTCTTATATGTACATAATCATGTTCATGTATATTTAGGTATGGATACTGCTAAGTGAGTTTTACTCAAATCATTTGGCTTGCTGTTTACTCCCTTTTGTAGTTTTTGATCTTAGACATTTTAAGATAAGTCTGAATTGAAAAATTTTCACATTTAAAGCTTTATCTTTGTGCAATCTAAGTGTATGTGAGAAATCACAGTTGGCATAATTTTGTTGTAGTTGATATTCAGGGTTTTAGGAATCATTATTTCAGGATTTGGTGAGTGAATTTATGAGATCTACTGCTCTAGAAGTATAGATGGCCAAAGGACCATTTCGTATTGCCTCCTGGTTGCCTGTCTGATGATACTGTGTGTGCTAATATATGCTATTCTTTTTGTTATAGATTGTCTTAACAGTAGGTCAAGTAATAAAAAGAGATTAAATAATTTAAATTCTTAAATGAATCAGTTTTTCTTCACTTTCTCCTTTTTTTCTTCCTCTGTCCCTTCCCCAGAGTCTCTGTTTCTGGTGGGTGAGAATGAGAAGGGGAAGTGAATTATGGGATCGTTATTTTTAAAGAGTAACATGTTTATTTTCCAAGCTTTCCAATTCAGTTTGACTATCAAAGAATGGATCTCAACTTTGCTTAAAGGGTAGCAGATACGTAACAGATTTACCCACCAAGTTATGGAAGGAAAAGATTCAATCAAAAATTAAAGATTTCCTGTTTATTGAAGATAGTATCAGTTTTGTGGCCTTAGAACTTTCCCATACCTAAGGGGGAAATACCATTTCTGGATTACCATATCTTTGGTTTGTATTTAAGATATGCAGTTGCTTAGAGATGTTTTTATAGAAAGTCTTATAGCTTAGATTTTTGAGGAGTGAGGTGATTAAGTTGTACTTACTAGTATAATGTGCTTATCTCTTCACATCCTGTGAAGCTGGAGATGTGCTAGAAGAACTTTTTTTAAATACCTTTATTTTTATATGTTATAATATTCTAATGATACCCAACAGTTTATTTTTATTATGATTTTTTTAAACAAAAATGGTGCTGAGGATCGAACCCAGGGCCTCGCACGTGCTAGGTGAGCACTCTATTGCTGAGCCACAACCTCAGCCCCTAGAAGAACTTTTTCTAGCTAACACACTCAGGAACTCGGTTTTTTTATTATTATTTTTTGCAGTGCTGGGGATTGAACTTGGGGCCTTGCACATACTAGACAAGTACTCTACTGCTGAGCTACATCCCCAGCCCCAGAAGAACACTGTGCTCTTTGTATAGGTTCAATACCCACTTCTTCCAGTCTGCTGGAGTTGAAACTTTCAGAGCCACAACAGTAGAACTAAAGAAAATTTGCTTGGGTTGATTGTCCTTGTTATAGATTAATTTTCCCTCTGTAACAGTGGCCCATGGTGACTCACATTTTGTTTAATATATTAAAGTGTTGACATTTTAAAATTGAAGTAGCATGATGTCAGATTGTTTTAAATTTTGCTTTATATCTAACCACTGATAGCTGGGCCTTTTTTGTACTTTGTTTAGACTCTGGCAATGTATTTTTATATGAGCTGAAACAACATTAAGGAACAAACAATGGCTAGATAACCACTGAGTTTGTCCCCAAAGATGTCTGTCATAATAGCTATCAGTAAAGGCTGTAGTTACATGAATTAAAAAGGGGGAATCCTAATTTCTCTCTTCTCACACTGTGGGATTTTACCATAGAAGTCAGCATTGTTGTATACATAGCTAAAATTTGTTTCTTGACATAACTTCAGAACTCTTGACTGCATCATGACTCCATCTAAAGCTAAAATCACTAATTTTTTTTCCTTGTTTTCTGAATGAAAGTTCTACCAATTTTGCCTAAGTAGCTCTGTGCTTCTAAAAGTTTCCACTAGATGGAGAGCTTTTTTTATCATCTTTGTTAATCCCAAATGAGTTGTTCTTAGTCATTTATGGATTCTGTGTTTGCAGATATGCCTAGCTGCTAAAATTTATTTGTAACCCGCCACTGTACACGGTGCTTTTGCAGTCATTTGAGGACTTGTGCAGTGCAGTGGAGAGTTGGAATCTCCAGTGAATATTTTCCCACCCTAAGGTGAACAAGGGGACGCTCAGTCTTTCAGTTGTCACGCTGTGTCTTTTTGTTTGTTTGTTTGGTCGGTCCTTTTAGTGCCATTTTGCAGTTTTGTGCTTTTCCTTGATGACTTTCCTATTTGAAATGGTCCCAAGTGCAGTGCTGTTGGACTGACCAGTGTTCCTAAGGGCAAGAAGGCTGTGCTGTGTCTTAGAAAATACTGTGTATTAGATGAGCTTTGTTCATGCCTGAGTTGCAGTGATGTTGGCCGTGAAGCAGTGTTAAAGAGTTCAGCAGAATAAAGTGTCTTGAACAAGAAAACAAGATCATAAGTTGATTCATTGAAAACTGTGTGAACGTAAACTCTGGAAACCTAACTCAGTAGAGCAATGAAGGATTTCAGTATTTGCTAATTTATATCAGAGGTGGCTTTATAGGACATAAAGAGAATTGACTGTTTTGTAATTTTCAGACTCAGATTGCCCTGGTTTTTGAGAAGGCTGCAGAGGGTGCCTCCAGCCCCTATATCACCAAGTCCTGTACTGTACGGCCATCTTCAATCCTTCTGTCAGTGGTGACAGGGCAAGTTTTCACAGTGTTTCATGGGGCCTTGAGCAGTGGTTCAAACTAACAAGTGGGAAGGACTCACTGGTTTCTAAAAAAAACTTATCACAGCCTTCAGCTATACTAGTAATACTAATACTGTGGAGACATTTTTATACCATTTGATAGAATTTCTAGGTATTTTTGATGAATGATCTTAATTTTGTTGTTAAAAACACAATGAAGCTGGGTGTGGTGGCGCACACCTGTAATCCCAGTGGCTTGGGAGGCTGAGACATGAGAATCAAATTCAAAGCCAGCCTCTGCAATTGCAAAAGGTGCTAACCAACCGAGTGAGGCCCAGCCTCTCAATAAAATGCAAAATAGGGCTGGGGATGTGGCTCAGTAGATGAGTGAACATGAGTTCAATCCCTGGTACCAAAAAAAAAAAAAAAGGAACAATGGAATGTTAACGATGAGTAAATAATAAGGCATAGAGCTCCTCATCAAGGTCAAATTCAATTCTGCTACTTTCAATTTGAATAGTAGGTCACAAAATCCTACACCCTTCAAAAATTAACTTGTAGTCAGAGTAGTAGCTGAATTGGATGGAGCTGAAACTCACCCTTCCTAAGCCTCTGGTTTGGAAGTCCCAACCATTTTGTGCTGTTCTTTGTCTTTCCCCGAATATTTTCATGTATTCCTGGTCCCTCCTTAGGGAAAAAAATGACTTGAAGTAGGAGAAACAGCTGATGGAGTGGGAAGTCCTGTGCTGCATTTGGCTACCCCACGTGAGGCAGTCTCTGGGATTAAGATCCCCAGCACCACAAAAGGAGAAAAAAAAGAGCTATTTTTCTATTTTTTTAAGCACAACTTCATAAATGGGTTGTGATGCATTTGGGGTTTTGTGTTACAGTGGAAAGAAGACATGGGATAGGTCTACGCCATCGAACTGGGTGGTTATCTCTCTGAGCCTTGGTTCTCTTTCCTGAGGGGCTAGGAGTTGTGTGTATGTTGGGAAGCCTGTGTGTTGTTTCTGTAATGTGGGGGGACTTGGGGAACCACAGGCTCAGGGGCAGGGTACCAGTATGCAATATCAGCGTGGGCCAGTGGTACCTGTTGTGACTTTTTGTTGGGCTGTCTTTGGACATTGCAGTCTTGATCTTGTTCTCTACTCCCCTCACCCTTCGACTGTTTGAGCCTCCAACCTTTATTAGAAGAGAATTTGATCTGCTGAATCATTTATTTTGCTTGTTAACTAATCACTCCGCAGAATGCATACATTCCTGTCATTTGTGGTTTCAGTTATTATGGAATAAGAAACATGTCTCCAGTTCCAGGAGTTTGAGATGTCAACAAGTCAATAGGGGGAATTGGAGGAGACGGGGAATCCCTACTATCCTTTCAAGGAGGTTTGGGATAGAAACTTGATTTAGTTCTTTTTTAGTCAGTACAGGAGGAGAGGGTATCTAGAGGACCTCATCCCTCCAGATGGCTCCCTGTTCCTGTGGGAGTCTCATAGGTGACAGTTCTGGGACATAAGGAGGAGGGTTGTGGCTGACAGTCCAGCAGGCCCTGGCCTTTGTCCTTCCTCTCTCCAGGACTTCCTCTAGTACCTGACTAGCCGACCATGCCATGCTGACCTTGGAGACCTCTCTTTTCCCTCCATCACAATTCCTCCTATTGTTACTGCCTGCTAGTCTTGACATTGTTATTTCAGTTGACAATGAATACTCTCACTGGAATACCTTCTTTCTGGTATTTAGAGCAAATTCTTACTCTACTTTTTGTGACAGTATTCTGAGAAGTTACTCTAAGACTGCTCAGTAGGGACAGTGACTACAATGTAAGTAGAAGGTGTAAAGTCTAGTTTGAACCGGTTTGAGGCTTACTTATCTGAAGATTTTGAGGCTGCTTGAGATCTGCAAGATGTTTTGTCTGGACCAGGAATTATCCTTTACTTGTAGATAGAATAAGGACCTGGAGGACAGGTATCCACTTTGATGTCCTTTTATTTGACTTGGTACAGTTAAAACTTTCCTGGGAACAGGGCCTAGAAACCTTCCAGATCTGAGTCATATGCAGGTTGCCCAGAGCACTGGGGAGATAGTCTGTGGCTTGATGGAGCTAGAGATTTCTGGGAAAGATGGAGCCAAGGCGATTCACTATAGAAGGGATTTTAAGTGACCTTATAGAGCAGGTCAGTGGATCCCTCTTGCTGTTTCAGAACATGCCCTGCCTCTTCCTGAGCTTGAGACTTGCCCTCCAGCACGAGGAGAGGGAAGTAAGGACGCAGTGGTCTGCACTCCAGAGCCCTCCGCTGGCTTGTGCTTCTCCAGCCCTTAGCTTGTCAGGTTAGCCTGGCCAGAGTCTCGGGCTGATTGCTGTGCTGGGACATCGGCTATGACACGCTGCTGTCCATGGGCCTCTATGCAGTCCCCCACTGTCTTGAGGATGATTTGGAGTCTGCGGTCCAGGGCCAGGAGGTGCGGTTCAGTGAGGATGGGGGCCAGCTGGTCTTCTAGTAGAGACTCCCGCATCACATCGCTGAGTCTGTAGTCGGCCTGGGCCAGCAGCTGCAGATGCAAGAGTGTTTTCTTTTTGATCCTGAAAAGGCAAAGTCATAGGAGCCAAATAAGTCAGGGCAAAGAAAATACCTTGTCTGTACCTGCCCATTCCCCGAATAGCTGTTGCAGCTGATATTCTGAGAGCCTTCACCCCCAGTGCCTTCTCAAGCATGTTAATGAAAACCGCATCAAAAGGGAATGAAGAAAAGGTGTCCACCTTTGCCCAATTGCCTTTTGGTCAACAGCCTCTAACAATCATAATGCCGCCCGTGCTGACGCTGGACCGTGCGCATTTGCGCTGAGGTTGCTAAAGGAATCAAAACTGAAGTGACAGGATTTTTTAAAGAGACTTAAAGCTGATGGGAGAAGCTTCTAGTAGGTGAAATGATGAAGCTGTCTGCCATTTCAAGAGCTAGCCTCCAAGATGGGTCATGCTAACTATTTCTCAGATTCTAAAATCAGAGGGATGAAAATGGGGTGGGACCATCCTCAGGAGTTTTATCTCTTTTTATGCAGGAATCTGACTTGGACTTCTGGGCAGGCAGCTTAATTGTCTTATTTTTGTCACAAGCAGCTATTGCCTGGCCTCCTCAGGAAGGGAGGGAGGAAGCAAGAAGGGAGACATGTTGGAATTAATCTAAGAAGCTGATTAAGAACCTTCATACTCAGAGTTTCCCGCTGGAGACAAATGGGGTGGTTTTGCTAGGTGCGAACCACATATTTATAATTAGCTCCGGATGCTGTTGCTGAGCAGGTGGACAGTTTCACAAGCCTGGCTAAGATGCCAGAAAGGCCTGGAAGTAGGTTAGACATCCTCCAGAGAAGTGTGGTTGGGTGAACTGAACTCTGGGCACAGGCTGTTTAAAGGGCACTCTAATCAGGACTTTGCTTACATGGTGATCAAATAGTAATATGAGACTATCTGACTCCTGGACAAAGCAGAGGTATGATTAGTAATGTCAAAGGTCATCAGCCCCCGCAAAAGTGGGAAATTATCTAAGTGGGTTAGAGATTAAAGTTGGCAACTGAGAAGTTTAAAAGATTATGTCCAGCTGAGTGTGGCGGCACACGCCTGTAATCCTAGCAGCTTGGGAAGCTGAGGCAGGAGGATTGTGAGTTCAAAGTCAGCCTCAGCAAAAGCAAGGTGCTAAGAAACTCAGTGAGACCCTGTCTTTAAATTAAAAAAACAAAAACAAAATAGGGCTGGGATGTGGTTCAGTGGTCGAGTGCCCCTGAGTTCAATCCCCAGTACCAAAAAAAAAAAAAAAAAAAAAGTCTGAATTCATCTTAGGCCAAAGGATGAAAAAGTGAGATGTTGCTTGAGAAGATGTGATAATTGTCTAAGAAATGAGGCAATTCGCCTCGTTTTACCTGCCCATGTCCTAGACCAGTGAAAACTGATGAAGGCCCTCAGAGCTCAGTGGCAAGCAGGATGAACTGTCCTGGCGGCCACCTGCCCTTGGTGCCTGCTGCATGCAAACTTACATGCAGCACTGGGAGAGAGGCGAGAGGATGGAGATCTCATCATGGGAGTGTCGTCCAAACCTAGGAGAAGACAGACTTCAGTGAGCAGCATCCTTATTCCCTTGGGGCTTTCTCTCTTCTTCTTTTAAAATCTGTGGTTGGGGTAAAAAGCCAGGGACCATGGCAGCCGCCTCCCCAGCCCCCCTCTCCTCTGGGCATAGCAGCCTCCTTGCTAGAACCAAGCAACCTCTCCTTCCTTCAGGCCCAGCTAGGGAGGCCCAGCCTCTGGGGATCCTCATTCTGTGCCTGTGAAAAGGGACCCACTAAAAGAAACCCACGGAGCTTGATTCACGGAGCGCTCCTGGGCTGGCAGAGGATCAAGGGCGCTCAGTTAAGAGCAAGAAAAAAAGCAAGTGGGAAAGCCCAGCGCGATGGGGGCGGGCGGAGTGTGCAGGCGGGTCTGGGCAGGCTCCTGTGGCCAGCAGCTGCAGGAAGGTGTGTGTCTGGAGGCAAAGAGCTGCAACTGGCAGGACCCTCACCCTCTGGCGTTGTCGAGATGAATAAGGAAGCCATCCTCCCCGAATTTGGTGAACATCTCATAATGGTGACGGTCCATGTTTCCTGTAAAGAAAGGGAGAGGGGCTGGTAGGTCAGGGGGACAGGCGCCTCTGACCTCAGTTCTGTCCAGGAGTAGAGGCCTGGACCCGGGCCACAGCTGGCGTTGCCCAGTTTCCACCGCTTCCTCTGCCCCCACCCCTGCCCAGGGGTTCTGTTGTACAGAAGTGTGCCTTCGTCCCTCCTGTCCATATGGATGGGGTTTTCAGCCCAGGCACCCCCAGCTGAGAGTGAAAAGCTACCTTCCTGAAGGGAGTGACAGTGAGCCCTCTGTCTGCTTTGCTTAACGTCTGAGCACGTGTGCCATGGCTGCCTTTGTTACTCTGCTGTCCTGCCTGACCTTTCCTGGTCCCTGTGGAATTACCAGGAAGGCAGAATTCCCAGTTTCTGGCTGGGACCTTGCCTTCAACCCTCACTTTCTCACCTTCCTACCTGCTGTCCCCTCGATGGGTGCAGGGAACACGTAACGTCAATCTGACGCCCACTCGGGCCCTATGGCAGGGTGCTGTGCCTGCCCCCGAGGGCCCCTTCCCCAGTTCTTTGAAGAGGGCACCTGCTAACTTCTGTCCTCTTGGGCCTTTGCCACTTCTGAGGCTGGGTGGTGCGGGGTTGTTCAGTCCTCATGAACCCGGATATAGTTGTGTGCCAAGGTCACAACCACTTCGCCAGGTGCCCTGAGCATGGGGACCTACCTATCAAGAAGTCAAAGATGGCCATGTCGATGATGTTGAGGAGCCGGTTGCTGCTGTTGTATGGGTAGATCTGTCTCACAGTGTCACAGTAAAGGGGATTGAGCTCCCACCTGGGGGTGAGAAGAAGTCCTGGGGCTGGAAAAGCCAAGGTGGCAAGGTGTTGGGGCCCTCCCCACACCTGCAGCCCACTCCCAAATCCCTGCCTCCCTGATCCCGCCCTGGGCTGGGGGCAACTTCTCAGGATGCTGGTGGCTGGTGGTAGCATACCCTCAGGAGGACCCTGGCCAAGGACTCGGGAAAGGAGCCCGTAGATTCCACCTGGTAAAAGGTTCTGAGTCATTTAACCGCTGGATGCTAAGCTGAGGGCTGGGGTACCACGTTCAGAGACCAGGGCAGGCAGGGCAAGATGGTGCCATGTCTCTCACCTGCTTCCTCAGCATCCCTCACCAAGCCTCTTGGACACTGGCCCTCCAGGGCTCCTGCACTGTTCACAACCCCCCATGGGCCACCTTGTTATGGCTGTCACATTTGTGCTTCTGCCTACATTGTACCGTGTGCCGCTCAAACTTCCAAAGTCCCTTCTAACCCATCACTCATGTCCTCTAGAAATTCTTCCATTGCTTCTTTACCCCCACAGTCAAGGTGGCCTGAAGATGGACCTACTCAACTAGAACTGAGTACTGCCACGTGCCAGGAGGGGTGCTGGGCCTGGGGATACAGCCAGGAGGCTCTTGGCCTCGTGGACTTTTCTCAGGCTAACTGGTGTCCCTCCTACGGCTTCTCTCGTGCTTCTCTGTTATAGGAACACTACACTAGGCTTCCACAGTCTGGCTGTTTGTCTGTCCACTCAAGAAGCCTCCCGAGGGAGAGCCTATGTCCCTCCTGTGTCCCCTAGCATTTAACAGGCTCTCCATCACCCAGTAAATGAATGCAAGCAAGAGAACAGACCCAGACCAGCTAGTCACAGGATCAAGGTAAATGGGGCAGAGGAGGACCGAGGAAGCTTTTGGGGTCCAACCGGGACCACTCTTAAGAACTGGACTGCAGGACTGTGGATGTGGATTTGCAGCCAGGGGCTGACTCACTCCTCTTTTCCTGCCAGTGTGTAGGAGCGGATCCAGGGGTTGGGCACCGACAGCCTGGGGGCCAAGTTGAGGGACGGCAGGAAGGCAGAGAGGGAGCCCTCCAGCAGGTGCGGGTTGCCGCAGACCGCGTACTCCGTCTTGCACATGTACGGACACTTGGCGAAGAAGCACACATTGCTGGCTGCAGGACGGGGAAGAAGAGAAGAGCAGGAAGAGGAGGACTTGGAGGCAGGCCGTCTTCCTGCACCAAGAAACCCCTGGGGATTAGATGGGGAACCCTGAACCCGTGTCTTGGGAAGATGGGAGAAGGAAACATGGCCATTTTGGGACATAGCAGCTACAGAACTGAGCATCATGGGGACCAATTTTCAAATGTCTCTGAGCAGAGAAAGTGGGATCCAGTCTCTCTGCATCTCATCCATATGATTGGGACATTCTTTGTTACCCTGGAAGGATAACCTCTGGCCCCAGGAAGGCCAGCATTGTGGGTTTTAGCGACCACACTAGCCTCTTAGCATCTCACACACCACCTTTTCCCATACAAAATTCATCCGATGGGAGTGTCTGAGGGCAGCATCTGCCCATCGCAGTAATGCGGTGCTAGTGACAAGGAGCCATGCCACTGTGAACGTGACAGTGGGCACCTGCTTTACCGCGTAGGCAGGCAGGCTCTGGCCAGCACTGTACCTGGAGAGACAAAGAAAACGCTCTGCAGGATTTCATTCTTGGTGACCTCTAGGATTTCCTTGGTGACATTCACTAGCCTCCCCACTGTTGGCGGCACCCGTCGAAAGTCCAGAATCCTGAAAGAGGGAGTCCAGGTTAGGGATGGTCAGGGAATGGGGAGAGGTCCTGTCCCCAGGCCAAAAAATGTTAGAAATCGCCTGGTGTTCCTGACCACACCCTGCAGGGCGGCCACTGGGGGTGTGTCTGTGGTGCTGAGCTGCGGTGGCAGGGTCACTGCTGAGGGGTGGAGAAGGAGCCCCTGTTCCATCAAGCCTCCTGGGCAAGCCTTCCTACCATCCAAGCTGTGTTCTTCTCTAGTGCTTTTCAGCTCAGGTGTGCGTGCTGGGATCTTGTTCAAGTGCAGGTTCTGATTTTGTGGGTCCTGGGTGAGGCTGAGATTCTGCATTTCTAAAAAGCTCTTGTGTGGTGTCCATGTTGCAAATCCATAGAGCACACTTTGAGGGGCAGTGACTGAGTGGATAGGAACCTGGGAGTTTAGGAATGTGTTTTGTCTTCTAATATCATCACCTTATGGTTCCTTGGGCATCTTTTTGTTTTCAGATCAGGAACTAGAGGAAAGGGCAGTATTGTGTCCAAGAAGGCAACGTGTGCAGTACAGCAGGGTTAGTTTTCTTTATTAATTGTTTATTTCGTTATGTTAAAAGACCATGGGTTTGTTGGGTTTAAAGGCACCGCCCTGAGGTATGGAAGAGGTGAGAAGAGCCAGAAGAGTCCCCCGAGGGTCTTTCCAGCATTTCCTCCAAGCAATTAGCCTTTGTAGTGGACACCACCTCCAGGGGTCGGACTTACCTGTCCAGGTGGAAAGCTGCGATCTCGGCGTTGTGTCTCTGAAAGTCAATGAAATAGAAGAAGTCTGCGGGCGTCTCCTCATCTCGCTGCTGTCTAGAGAGAAGGAAGGAGTCACGCCCTGGACTCAGACTTCAGCTGGGAGGCTGAGGAGGGGGCTGTGAGGAAGAGGAGGGGGGACATGCTTCTGTGCTTCTCACGTACACAGGGATGATGGAGCCACCAATCAGGAATGGCCAGTGGCTCCCTGGGCTAGGAAGAGACATGCAAGGTAGGAAGAGTCCGGCTTCTGGAAGACACTGTCCTGTATTGCCATCAACATCAAGTTCCCTACTTGAGAAGCTTTGACCACAGTGGCCGAGTCCTTAAAAATCCAACCGACGTGAAGGAAGAAGTACAGGGAAGGTGTAGAAGGAGGAGCTAGGATCCATTAGCAGGGCAGACCCAGATGCCCAGGGATTAGGAAAGGTGGGTGTGATCCAGAACTTGGTCATAGAAAGTTCCCTAGAGACGTCTAGTATGATTGAGGTTTTGAAGAGATGGAAAGTTCTGGATTTTGGGGTGGTTTGGGAGAAACACATGGGACAATCCCCTCAGAGAAACTCAGGTGGGTCAGGAGAATGGACCCAGCCACAGGATTGCGGGAGGCTGGTGAAGAGGACATTGATTTCTGTGCATATTAAACTCTCCAATGGATTCCTGAAAAGCTCCATCCTGCCCCCGGGTGTGTGTGTTCAGGAAAGTGCCTCCTGATCCCTAAGGCATGGTGGGGCCACCTCCAGCTGCTAGGTCACCTCTGCCTTGATGCTAACAAACATGGAAGAATGGGGATCTTCAAATAGTTTTAAGTCCACTGTGTCTGAAGGCAGCAAAAACATGCACAATGTAAAGAAACGTGGTGGTGCAGAAAGCCCTCAGGAACCAGCCCGCAACCGAAAGGGTTCTGTGCTGTTGGCCAGAGAAACACAGGCTGGTCCTGAAACCTGCTGCAAGGTGCTGCCCACGGAGAGGAGCTATTCCAGAAAGTGCCACCGCACCTCCAGGACAGCTCCAAGCCCTGCCTGGCCCTTCTCATGAGCATCACCACACTCTGCCCCAGATGACAGACAGTCCCTGTCCCTGGTCTTACTTCCTGAATTTCATCCGTATGAACATTCGGTCTCTCCTTTGGGATTTCTAAAACATCATTTCTTCATTGTCTGGCATATGAGTGAAGTGACCGGAAACTTGAAAACTACTTTGACTTGATGTGAATGCTTCCCTTGTTTTGAGAAGCACGAGTGCACTTATTGTGCAAGCCTTGAATATATGCCATTAAGAACATCACCTCTAGCTGATGGGTGTGGTGGCCCACGCTTGTAATCCCAGTGGCTCCGGAGGCTGAGGCAGGAGGATTGCGAGTTCAAAGCCAGCCTCAGCAAAAGCGAGGCCCTGAGAAACTCAGTGAGACCTTGTCTCTAAATGAAGTACAAGATAGGCCCTGGGGACGTGGCTCAGTGATTGAATGTCCCTGAAATTGTCCCTTCAGTATTTTATATGCCTGACTATATGATCCCTCTGAAAATTGTCCCTTGGAAAAGGATTCTTGTCATGTTCAAATTCTTATGTATTTTCTCAAATGATGGAACCCCTCTCAATTACTTTATTTTGTTTGAGCTGGTGATGTCACTCTGAGCTGGTTTTTGCTGCCTGACAAGTGGTTAGGGCAGGTCGTTGGGCATCACGAGAAAGAAAAGTGGGAAAGACTTCACCTCAGGTTAACATTGATCCTAAACTTGACTCTGCAATGATGTTGACCAACACCCACAATCCTTGGCAAGTGGAACATGAGAGTGGGGGGCGGGGGGAGCAGTATCTCTAAATTTATATATTGTTTTATAGGATGAGAATTTTTAAATCAAAAAATGTAAGAAGATATTCAATTGTTTCATATACATCTTTGAAAGCTATATATTTAAATTGACCAGACGACTAGGTTTTTACATTTCCACAGAAGAAAAATGAGGAACTCTCCTTAAAAGCAGGCTTCTAAAGGTTGCCTGGGCCTTGGGGTCACAGGGTAGGCCCCCAGAGCCAGTCCACTGGACTCCATGAGCATGGGACTTGGGCACAGAGTTGTTTAAGGCTCCCCAGGACAGCTGACCTACTCCAAATCCCTCCTTAAGGTGGTGCTGACTCTTTATCTGGTACACATTTTACTAGGCCCCACCTCTAGAACCAGTGACCAGACGGTCCATGGGGCCTCTCCTCACCTGGCTGACGGTTGGAATCCTGGCCGGTCCACGTGGATTCCACGGAAAGACAGTGCATTTTTGGAAAACATGTGACTTGGGTAATGGGAGTGAGTGTGGCATCCCCAGGGGAAGCAATCTACTAGGATAAGGCATTCGAGTCCTACTTCAGGAGACCCCCACCTGCAGCGTCTTGGAGCCAGACACCCATTCATACACCGAGTTGTGCGCACAGACTAGATGCGTGATTATATTTCACCAATATATATGAACTTCAAGGGCATGTAAGTTTTTTTTTTTTTTTTAAGGTGGTAGTAGGGATTGAAGCCAGGGACACTCTACCCTGGGCTATATTCTCAGCCCTTTATTTTTATTCTTTTTTTTTTTTTTTTAAGAGAGAGAGAGAGACAGAGAGAGAGAATGAGAGAGAGAGAGAGAGAGAGAGAGAGAGAGAGAGAGAGTATTTTAATATTTATTTTTTAGTTTTCGGCGGACACAACATCTTTGTTTGTATGTGGTGCTGAGGATCGAACCCAGGCCGCACGCATGCCAGGCAAGCGCGCTACCACTTGAGCCACATCCCCAGCCCTATTTTTCTTCTTTTAAATTTTAAGATTTAAAAGAATAAAGTTATCCACCATGGACTGGAATTTGTGATATTCCTGTCTCAGCCTCCTGAGTTGCTGGGATTATAGGTGTGTGCCACCAGGCCTGGCTGTTAGGTTACTTGTTTTATGAACAAAATATGAATCAGTGTAGTTGGGTGTGGTGGTACCTACCTCTAATCCCAATGACTCTGGAGGCTGAGGCAGGAGGATGGCAAGTTCGAGGCCAACCTGGACAACTCAGTGAGACTCTGTCTCAAAATAAAAAAGTAAAAAGGACTGGGGAAGCAGTTCAGTGGTAGAATGCCCCTGGGTTCAATCTCCAATAAGAAAATTAAATTAAATTATATATAATGTACATATTATATATAATACATGTGTGTGTATATGTGTATATATTTATATATAAAGTGTGAACATGTGACAGACTTCATAGTACCCTTTCTAGGTTGTCTAGTTTTTCAATCAAAACAAGTATTGTAGGGCTGGGGGTGTAGTCCATGGTAGAGCACTTGCATGTACGAGGCCTTGGCTTCAACTCTACCATTGCTAAAAAATAAAAAATAAAAAAAAAAGCAAGTACTGTCACGTAGAGATCTGTAAACTTTTGATGTCCAAGGAAGGGTGCTAGCACACTTAACAGTCCCACCGCCTGGTGTCCAATCCTGGGTCCACTGTTACAGCTGGGAGCTTGGGATGTGCAGGCCTCTTGTGGCCTCAGTATCTTCACCTTACAGTGGACATCATAATGGCACTTGGCTCATGAGGATGTTGATGATCCAAAGACCCAATTCATGTGGGGTGTGTGGCTCAGATGCTAGCAAGGGACTCTTACTATTTTAATTGCTATCATTCTCACAAAAAAATAGTCATGTGCTTGGGGTAGGATGTCCAAAACAGGTCTCCCGATCACTGGTATAAAGATACTGGGTCACTTTTTATTTTTTATTTTTTTGGTAGTACTGGAGATTGAACCCAAGGGTGCGCTCTCACTGAACTACATCCTTGTCCTTTTTTAGTTTTTATTTTTTAAATTTTAAGACAGGGTCTTGCTAAATTGCTGAGGCTGGCCTTAAACTTGTGATCCTCCTACCCCAGCCTCCTGAGTGAGTGGGATTAAAGGTGGGCATTAGGTCACTTTTACTGCTTTTAGTTAGAGCTCCCCCAGGGCTGCCACCCTGGGCGCAGCGGTGGGAAAGACTCCACTTACCTCATGGGTTTGAACATAGCCTTCCCGAAGTCCGAGAACCTCAGCACCAGCTTCAGGTGGACGCCACTGGGCTTCACAACTGTGGAGGGTGGAAGGGCCAGTGAAGGACACATTTGGGCCTAGGTCGGAGCTCTGACTGTTCGTTCCGAAGGCCCAGCCAATTTCTTCTCTTTTATTTAATAAGAACTTAAGGATGAGCATTTGCTTCCCAAGCAGTGGAGCAGGTGTCAGGGTTCCCCAGAAAGACACTAGTGAAAAACCCCAAAAATGTTACCCTAAGAAGAACCGACCCTCTCCTCTGTTTCAGCTGCCCCCTGTGGATTCTGATCCTGCTATCTGTGACAATAACTGAGATGCATTCTTCCTATTGAGGACTCTCCGCTGGGCAGGGTCTAGGGCGTGGCAAATCCATGCGCCTCCGGTGCAGGGGGAACTGCTCCCTTGTGCTGCAGCCTGCCTCACCTCACCTGCCCCACTCTGGGCCAGCTCTGCTGCAAGCCCCATGGGGGTTGGGACTTGTCTTCTAACCTTTGACACATCATGTCACATGGAGAAATGTCTGACGCGTGTTCATCAAGTTGAGGTAGGTAGAAGAGGCCACTTGCAGCCAGAGGTGGCTGGCCTGCGGTTCAGTGTCCAGGCCCACCTGGAACCAGGTCCCAGCCTCCCCAGAGGGAAACGCTGCTACGCTCCTGGCTTTTCCGTTCTGTTAATCATTTACCCCAGGGGGCTCAGCCTTGGCTGCATTAGAACCACCTGGAGCTTTTAAAACATAAATGCCTGGGCCTCACCCTCTGCAGTGGAACCCAAACCTCCGGAGGAGGAGAAGAAGTTTCCCCAGTGATTCGGATATGTTGCCAGCATCACGAACCACTGTCAGGCACGACCCCCTCTTAAATTCGAAAACAGCCCCCAATCGGGGATTTTGTTAGAATTCAAATTCTGATTCAATAAATCAGATTGGAAACCGAGATTCTGTTTTTCTTACAAGCTCCCCGGTGATGCCGGTGAAGCTTGTCCCTGGCTGGCATTTGGATCAGTCAGATCCTGCACCAGAGTGCCCCGTAAATGCCTTTCTTTCTGTGGGTGGGTGGGCAGAAATGTTGACTTCTTAGGATTAGGCAGGGACAGCCCTCATTGGAGCGGATGCTGGGGTTCCAGTGGCTGTGACAGGGAGGGGGCTGGATGTGGCTGGGAGAGGCAGGAACTTACTCTGGGTGCAGTCGCACGCCCCCAGCAAGGCTTTCTCGTCCTGGCTGTAATCTGCAAAGGAGAAGGGCAGTGAGGGCTTCTAGCCAGGATCCTGGGAGAGTGACCACCTAGGGACAGACCCTCAATACCAGGAGGGGATGCAGCTTGGAGGTCTTAGCCTTGACTGTTCCGAAGGGATCTCCCAGAACCCACAGTTTCCCCCCCTGCTCCATCCTGGTCCCCGTCATCTCTAGTGCACAAACCATCCACAGCTGGCTGGAAGACCCAGTCTGATTTGGTCTCTGCTAATAATTTGCAGCATCACATAGACTGTCATAGTGCTTGAGGGCACAGACTTGCGGTCAGAAGACCTGTGTTTGAATCCCAGCTCCAGCACTGGGTCCTTGGTCAGGTTACTTCACCTCTCTGAGTCTCAGTTTTCCTGCCTGTAAAGTTCCAATGATAATGTCTATGTCATCAGGTCATTGCAGAAGAGCAAATACATTGCCTGGTTCCAAAGGAGCACTCAATAAAACGGCAGGAATCGCCCTTCTTTATTATGTGTGCAGAACACATTCTCATACCTCCATTATAGGAGGGTGATGAGATTAAGGTTAGAAGATCTCTTTCAAGAGGAAAGTGTTTTTCTGCTTATTAACCTGTCTATCATGTGACAGTGGCAACCCTTTAACATTCCACCCTGGGTCCCAGCCTGAGATGGCTTAATCCAGCCCCTCCGGGAGAGTGTCAATCACTCCTGCCCTGTCTCATGACCCTCACCGGCACTGATGGTGGGAAAGTGCCTCATGTCGTGCAGGAGTTTGCTGACGAAAGGACTGGACCTGGAGTACAGTCCGTGGCGGTTGATTCCCAGGTGGAACTGGACCCAGCTGGCCTCGGTTCGGAGCTGCAGCGGGGGCTCCAGGGAGGTGAGGTTCAACTGCTCTCTGTAAATCTTGTGTCGTCTGAAAGAGCCACAGAGCATTTTTGGTTATGTTTTTAAATTGGAAGAAGAAAGAACGTGGGGCCATCACCGGAGCAGCTCCTCTGGAGCTCCACGTATTCCTTCACGGACTCAACAAGTGCGTTGAGCACCTCCTGCGGGCCAGGCCTTGCGCTGTGCTCAGGGCGCCATGGGGAACAAAGAGCCCCTGGTCCCTCCTGGTCCTCAGAGAGCCTATAAGCTAGCTGGTAACACAGACAGTTGCACAATGCCACATGCACCGTGACACATGCACCGTGACACGTGCACAATGACACATTCATGTATGCAAATACACCAAAGCTGACCTAGAAGCCATGACAGATCCTGTGAAGGACAAAGGCAGATGGCTGAGAGAAGAACGAGGGGACTCATGTAACCCGGGCTCTCAAGGACACACCCCTGTGCCCTTTCCATGAAAAAGTCCCAATACTTTATGACCCAGGGAGTCGGGAGGGAGGGGAGAAGGTGATTGGTGAGAATGAAGGGGAATACAGGGAAGGTCCTTTGGAGGGGCTGGATGCTGAGTTGGAGAAATCAATATGGCATCAAGGAAAAGAAGAATTAATTAGCCATTTATTGATTGTTCTTCTTGGTAGCCTATTTTTTTTTTTTTGCAAGGATAAAAAGAAAAAAGCGACAACAATGGTGTTTCCATTTAGAGTCTAGCATGGGAGACAAATTGTACATCTATGAAATAATTGGAGCAAAGCAGAAGGCCTCCCTTCCAAGTACCAGTACACTGGGGACACACAAGCCTTAAGTCCATAGCAAGATACATGTTAGTTCTGCACCCCCAGCTGGTCAATAGAGGACACTCGCTCAACCTGTGAACAAACGCTGAGCAGCTATTTATTTTAGTTATTTTATTTTATGATATATTAAAATATTTATTTCTTAGTTATAGGTGGGCACAATATCTTTCTGTTACTTTATGTGATGCTGAGGATCGAACCCAGTGCCTCCTGCATGCTAGGTGAGCACTCTACCTCTGAGCCACAAACCCAGCTCCGATTTTTGTTATTTTAGAAATGGGTGAGGATATTTCTTCTTAAAAAGAAATATGGCATTTGACATCATTTTCAGAGAGTGGGCTTCTTTTTTTTTTTGGTATTGGGGATTGAGCCACAGCCTCAGACCTTTTTACTTTTTATATTTGAGACAGGGTCTTTCTAAGTTGCTTAGAGCCTCACTAATTTGCTGAGGCTGGCCTTGAACTTGTGATCCTCCTGCCTCAGCCTCCCAAGCCACTGGGATTACAGGCATGCTTGACGATGCCTGACTGAGTGGGTTTCTCCTAGTCCCTTTCTTGGCCTAGGTACTAGAGCACTTCTTCAGCCAGGGAGGGTGAAGAGCAGAGTAGCATGAGCAGAGGTGCCAAGAGTTGTCTATAAGACACCTATCTATGCTTTCTGTACCTGCACAGGTAACTCCCCAGTTCAAAGGGAGGTTGCAGAGACAAAGAAGGAGTCCCTCATTATCTTTTATACATAAGAGAGCAATTACAAATTCTGTTTCCATTAGTCTTTTGAGCTGCCAGGGACAATTCACCCTGGTCATCAGGAACCTAGTTACCTTCCACCTCTTGCCCCAACTCTTTGGAGTTGGCAGGCCTTCTGGATTCTGTCTTCATTGAGGGAAACACTACACAACGGGATTTGGGTTCCATCTTCCAGTTTCTATCAGACTTCTCCTCAGCACACTGTGACCAGGAACCTGCCTTTCAATACCCAGACTTGGTTTCTCTGGGCGTCCCTGTTCAGAGACCGAATCTCAGCTTGTTGATGTCAGCTGGGGCTTTCCTGAGTTTGGTGATGAGGTTCTTGCCCCTGTACCCCTCTGGATCTCCATGACCACCTTTGGTGTTTTTTGCTTTGTGGGGTGCTGGGGATGGAACCCAGGTCCTCGAGCATGCGAGGCGTGTGCTCTACCACTGAGCCATAGTTCATTTGAAGGCAAGTTGCCTCCCACCCAGAGCCACGTCAGGCTACCTGCTTCACACCCTGGAAGTTTTGCCATCGTACCAAGACCAGGTTCTTAACTTCCACGGAATTTCTAACCGCGAGTCTGTTTCGTTGACCTTATTCCTCCTGTTTTAATCTCACTGGTATCGAGGACCCTATAGATGGACCTAATTTGATGGCATGATCCCAAATAGGTCCCCTCTCTCCTGCCTGTGTTTTTTCCTTCTATTTATCCTTGGTTTTATCTTTTCCTTCCAGGTCTTACCCCCAATGGTCTTTCCTAGAGAGAGCGCTCCTTTGGCAGTGGACCTGTGGATTTGCGTAATCTGCCGAGTCTTCCTGGGACAACCATTTCTTCTTTTCTTTCAGCCCTTTGCTTAATGACTCAAACTTGATTCTGAAAAGGGCCCATGGGAGGGAAAACCTGGTGGAGCTAAGTTTCAAACTGTGGCATCTGACGTCATGACTGAGAGCAAACACGAATACACCAGGTAGAGGGGCTGGAGACAGAGAACTGGACTCCAGGAGCAATTGCAAAGAAAATCACGAGGCCATCATTGAGCAATGACCTCAGGGCTGGAACAAACCTAAGAGACTATTAACCCAGCTTCCCTTCCTCCTCATAGCATTCCTTCCAAGAAGTCGTCTCTTATCTTGGACCAGCTCCAGTGAAGGGACATGCCCTGTCCAGCCTAGTGCAGTCGATCTGTCTAGCTCTATTAGAAAGCACTTTCCAACAATAAGCCCAACTTCCCTCCGTTGCTTCCTCCAGTGAGTTTTGATTTTACCCTCCAGATTTAGGATCCCCCTCTTATATTACACCATTTAAAATATTCAGAGATAGTTCTCATAATGACCTTGGCATCCTTCCATCTTAAGCCTAAGTTTCTGACTCCCTTCACAGACCTGGGGGTGAAGTCTTAGTCATTGCAATAGACTGAGTGTTCATGACCCCCTCAAATTCACATGTTGAAACCCTAACCCATTCTGGTAGCATCATGATGAGGAGTCTTTGGGAGGTGATTAGGTGTTGAAGGATAGGGCCTCCTGAATCAGATTAGTGGCCTTAGGAAAGAGAGCCCCGAGAGATCTCTTGCATCTTCTGCCATGCCATGTTCTAGAAAGAAGTCAGGTGTCATGGAAAAGGGACCTCATCAGACACCAGATCTGAAGCCAAGGAATTGGATTTCAGTCTTTCAGCTTCAATCAGACACCTCAGCAGCCCACTCTGACCCATGGATACCTCATCTTGGAAATTCCAGTCTTCAGGAACGTGACAAATGGATTTCTATTGTTTGGAAGCCACTCAGCCTATGGGATTTTGTTATAGCAGCTTGTAAGGACTGAGTTATATTTATTTACTTCCCTCCAATTTCTGACACGCAGAACAAAATGTAATGCCTCGGCTGTGGATTGCCAGGGCAGAGGAGAACAGAATGATCACGACTTGCATTATACATGCTTTCTTTCTACTAATGTTGTGGCAGACCGAATAATTTTGGGGAAACTACATCTCATATTTCTAAAAAGACTATGAATCCAAAATCGGCCTCCAAGACTCCATGACCTCATTCCCGGAACCTGTGGCTGTGATGAGCCCTCACGCCCATGATTACGCCCATTCCACCACCGTGGAATGTGGGGAGATTATCCAGCTGGGCCTGAATTAACCACAGGAGCCCTTAAAAGCCGAGGTCTCCCCTAGCAAAAAGAGAAGGCAGAGAAATGAGAAAACCTTAGAAAGATTTGACAAACTCTTGTTGACCTTGAAGGTAGAGTGAGCCAAGGGCAGGGACCAAGGAGTAGCTAGAAAGAGCTGGGACTGCTTCTTGGGGACGAGTCTGACAACTGCAAGGAATAGAATTCTACCAACAGACATGAGCCCGAAGGAGGACCCCTGAGCTCCAGATGAAGATATGACCAACAGATGCCTTGATTTTAGGGTCTCGTGAGACTCTAGGGGAGAATGAGTCCTGCTGCCCTGGACTTCTAAGCTAAAGAACAAATGGGTATTTCTTTAAGTCTCTAAGTCTGTGGCAATCTGTACAGAGTAGCACAAAACACACATATTCTGTTCACAAAGAGGCTAAAAAACCAAATACCTTTATTTTAAGCATATGTTTTTATTTAAGAAAACACCCTAAGTAGTGAGTGTGTGTGTGTGTGTGTGTGTGTGTGTGTGTAATATTAACTAAACACCCTTAACTATGGAGCTGCATCTCCAGCTCTTTTTGTTTTTTCATTTTGAGGCAAGATCTTGTTAAGTCGCTGAGGATCTTACTAAGTTGCTGAGGCTGGCCTCCAACTAGCGATCCTCATGTCTCAGCTTCCCGAGTCACTGAGATTACAGGCATGCACCACCTTGCCGGGCTTCTAAGTAATATATTTTTTTCTTTAATGTAGGAAACTATTGTGCAAATAAGTTTTAGAATGTTAATTGGTCAGGGAAGGGGTTCATCAATTTTGGATAAAATTTATGAGTTCTCCAGGGTCATATAACAAGAGAGATGTAGATTGCAGAATCACCATGAGGAGAAGATGAACAGATTTAAATGCCTCGAGGAGCCAGGCAGGGAGCAGAAATGAGCAAAGAGTGCAGGCCGAAGGCCACAAGGAGGGGTGGAGAGTGTGTCAAACTGGAGCGCACAGGCCTCACCTCAAGGGGGACAGCCACTGCCAACTCTCAGCTCCCAGGAATCATGCCCTGACATTACTCATTCATTCATTCATCAAACATGTGTTTCCAGTTGGACACTGATCTATATTTTGGAACTAGAGCTGTGTACACAATGAGGTCTTTTTCTCATGAAGCATATTCCAGGAAAATCACTTATTCTGAGTTTACAACAGGAGTTAGAAACCCAGATTTTGATCAGAATTTGAAACTTCCTTTAAAAAAAACCCAAAAACCCATGTTGACTCAAATTTAAAAATATCCTGCCTGGGCCAAAACAGTTACAGAGCTCCACAGCCAGTGTGTTATCTGCTCCATTCTGTTACAGCAATTGCAAAGCCAGGC